TGCGTGTGTGTGTGTGTGTGTGTGTGTGTGTGTGTGTGTGTGTGTGTGTGTGTGTGTGTGTGTGTGACCTTAGGAAGGCAGGTTTCAAACAAGCCAAACACGCAAGCAGAGATACAAACAAACCAGCAGACTCCAGGCAAGGCACAGAGATAGAGAACTGTAGGAGGAGTTTATCATCCACAGAGACACAAATGTGTGTGTGTTTAAGCAAATCTGAGATAAGGGGATAATCGTACATCAAGGAGCTTGGCTTGACTCTTGCTGGTAAGGTGAGCAGGTAGGTGGGTTGACAGGTAGGTGGGTTGACAGGTAGGTGGGCAGACAAGTAGGTGGGTAGGGAGGCAGGTGGAACGACGGTCTCGCTTCATGCAGGTCGGCGTTCAATCCCCGACCGTCTACAAGTGGGTAGACACCATTCCTTCCACCCCCCGTCCCATCCCAAATCCTTGTCCTGACCCCTTCCCAGTGCCATATAGTCGTAATGGCTTGGCACTTTCCCCCTGATAGTACCCCCTCTCTTGCCAGGTGCTCCATTACCCTTGTCTTGACAGCTCTCTCCAGCATTTGACAAGGAATGCATTGACATTATTTAATAGTATTTGTCTCGTGTCCGCGTGTTTTGAAAACTGGGACAGTTACCCTCTTATCTAAATTTCATTAAAAATTGTAAATGTAAAAAAAAATTGTAAATTAAATAATTGTAAATGTTTTTTTTCATATTTAAGGATTATTGTAAATGACAAAGGCGCTGTTCTCACCTAGTTATACTCACCTAGTTGTGCTTGCTTGGTCCCGTCTCTCAAAAGTCAATCAACTGGTGAGTTTAAATATAAATACATATGTACAAGTCTTTCTAATGTCTCTGTGGCTCATTTGGGTACTAAGTTTCCACCTGTGTCCCCTTGTTCGTGTCCCACCCGTGCTTAAAAGCTTGTCTTTGTCCACCCCAAGAATTTTGTAGGTGGTTATCATGTCTCCCCTTACTCTTGTGTTTTCCAGGGACGTTAGCTTCAGCTTGCCTTAGCCTGTGTGTGTGCGCGCGCGCGCGCGCGCGTGTGTGTGTGTGTGTGTGTGTGTGTGTGTGTGTGTGTGTGTGTGTGTGTGTGTGTGTGTGTGTGTGTGTGTGCGTGAGTGTGTCCCATCTATAGTTGCTCCATATTTTTTTTCCATTTCCATTGACCACTATGTTATTGTGGAGCCCCTTTAGCACCAGTGCTCTCTTGCTGGCTCTTGTGTACACCTGGAAGGTCTCTTGTTGAGCCTCTCTCTCTCTCTCTCTCTCTCTCTCTCTCTCTCTCTCTCTCTCTCTCTCTCTCTCTCTCTCTCTCTCTCTCTCTCTCTCTCTCTCTCTCTCTCTCTCTCTCTCTCTCTCTCTCTCTCTCTCTCTCTCTCTCTCTCTCTCTCTCTCTCTCTCTCTCTCTCTCTCTCTCTCTCTCTCTCTCTCTCTCTCTCTCTCTCTCTCTCTCTCTCTCTCTCTCTCTCTCTCTCTCTCTCTCTCACTACCTTGAGGCTCATCACATGTTCTCTTACCATTGTTCTTCTCAGTATGAACAGAGAACACGTCACACTACCCTGACTAAGATAAGTAAGCTGAGACACTCATGTCATATATTGACTTTTGCTATGTCACGCTCTTCAGGGGTTCAGAACGGACCGATATGGGTCCAGCATGGACCGATAAGGGTCCAGAACGAACCGATATGGGTCCAGAACGGACCGATATTTTGTTTATGGTTTTCTCGTTCATTTCTTAACTGTCGTGACATTTCCATTTACTGATTCCCTTCTTTGTGACTGTGTTCTTCCGTCTATGTCACTTTCTCGATGTACCTCTTGTATGTGGGGCCCTCGGCCTCCTGTCACCCCGGCCTCCTAAGGTTTCCCAGCGTCAAGAAAACGGTCAGTTTAAAGTGGTCTCTCCTAACTTACCAGAGGATCCAAAACAGAAAACGGGGACAGTATATACGTCACTTTCGCCAGCCGCTTCCATTTTCTAGTACGACCATTTTTGGATTTATGTGACGCATACGGGTGAAAAGTGACGTTCTTTGTAGGGGGGACAGGTTGTAGGGGGGACAGGTTGTAGGGGGGACAGGTTGTAGGACAGGTTGTAGGGGGGACAGGTTGTAGGGGGGGACAGGTTGTAGGGGGACAGGTTGTAGGAGGACAGGTTGTAGGGGGACAGGTTGTAGGAGGACAGGTTGTAGGGGGGACAGGTTGTAGGGGGGACAGGTTGTAGGGGGGACAGGTTGTAGGAGGACAGGTTGTAGGGGGGACAGGTTGTAGGAGGACAGGTTGTAGGGGGGACAGGTTGTAGGGGGGACAGGTTGTAGGAGGACAGGTTGTAGGGGGGACAGGTTGTAGGGGGGACAGGTTGTAGGGGGACAGGTTGTAGGAGGACAGGTTGTAGGAGGACAGGTTGTAGGGGGACAGGTTGTAGGAGGACAGGTTGTAGGGGGACAGGTTGTAGGAGGACAGGTTGTAGGGGGACAGGTTGTAGGAGGACAGGTTGTAGGGGGACAGGTTGTAGCTTCTATAGTGATCACGCCCGCCATCTTTCATCGTAGTCCTTCTTCCTTCAGCTCTACTCTATCTACGAACTCTTAGCGACATCTCGTACTCTATCTACGAACTCCTAGGGGACATTTCGTGCTCTATCTACAAACTCCGTGGCGTAGTGGTAAGTCACTCGCCTGGCGTTCTGCGAGAGCTTTGTCGTGGGTTCGTATCCTGGCCGGGGAGCATTTACTGGGCGCAAATCCTTAACTGTAGCCTCTCTTTAACTCAACAGTAAAATGGGTACTTGGTTGTAAAAAATATTCTTCGCGGCAGGGGGTCGTATTCCAGGGACCATAGGATTAACCCCGGAAACACAAACCGAAACTGTCTCTATTTTTCGCTTATTACAACTTATAATAAAGTTGTTACATCTTGGCTTAACGTGTTTATGACGTATTTAAACGTTATTACAACTTGCTATATTAGTTGTTAAAACTAGTTAGGAAGTACTAAAACTTGTTCGAACGTTGTACCAACGTCGTAGTTTTGGTGTGTGTTTGGCGGGAAGGACCTGCCCGAAATGCTACGGGTACTAGTTGCTGTACAAGAATGTAACAACTCTTGTATATATAAATAAAATAAAATAAATGAACTCCTAGTGACATGTCGATTTTGAGTAAGCGTCAGATCTTGTGATGCTGGTGGATGCTGGTTCCTTTCTCATACCTTTTGTATGTATGATTCTTTGTATAATTTTGTATGTATGGTTTTGTATGATTCTTGTAGCTTGAGTTCAATTGTTTCTATTTCTCTACCTAACCTTCTTCGCCGTTCTTGAGATAGGGTGCGACTCTCAAGTTGTTCCGCGATTCGTTTTCTTCGCCTATATACCAGCTCTAATTGCTTTAAGAAATACTTGTGCACTGTATCCACTAGTTTTGCTCTCCATGTCTCATCACCGCCTTAAGAGTCCATCGTTATTCAACCTATATACAGGCGATGAGTCACAATAACGTGGCTAAAGTAAGTTGACCAGACCACACACTAGAAGGTGAAGGGACGACGACTTTTCGGTCCGTCCTGGACCATTCTCAAGTTGAGAATGGTCCAGGACGGACCGAAACGTCGTCGTCCCTTCACCTTCTAATGTGTGGTCTGGTCAACTTATTCAATCTATTTTTCTTTGGTTAAAATCTCTAAGTATATGGTTCTTAGGTTATACGCCTTTTCAAATTACTTATCAGGCAGGTCTCGCTGGATTTGTTGAATTTCTCCGTAGGGATTCTGGTGAAGATATGTCCCTGTGCTCCTCAAATGCCTATTTTTCTCTATATATCGGTGTTACTATTCATAAAGATTAACTTCACTGGTCGAGCTTATTCGAGTTCAATTTGCTTAGGCTACAGTAATTTTTTTTTTCCTGCTGGCCTCCCAGCAGGAAAATTTTTATTTATTTATTAAAAAAAAGTTTATTTATTTATTTTAATTTCTTTCTGGTCATCCTCTTGTCATTTCTACTGTATATCACGTGTGTGATATAGGAAGGTAGATTATGGTAGATAGGTAGCTCTGGTAGATTATGGTAGATAGGTAGCTCTGGTAGATTATCATATATTCTCCTCTCTTCATATCGTGCCTGTAGTGCCTTGTGTAACCTGCTGCTTGCTTATAGCCTCGGCTGTCACTGTTGACATGACACTCTCCTCCCCTTCACAACTTTTTAGCTGATTCAGATGTTTTGATCTTCTCTGGCGCCGTATTTCTCAAGCCGTATTGATTCTCTCCTTCGTTGGTCTTCTTATCTCTTGTGTTGTCTTTTTCCCCTCCTTTTCCACTGCCTTTAATCTATCTTCCAGTTGATGGAGGCTCGTGTTGGGGTTCTTTTCCACCAGGTTCTCTACCCATTCCATCGGCGCTAGTGGGGTTTATAACTCATTGTTTGGTTTAGGTTCTCTTCTTATCTCTTTCTTCATTTCTTCCCCCGCCTGTATTTCCTGGAACTGCCTTCGTAGTGTGTAGTGAGAGTGGGGCAGGTTGTGGGTGTACAGTGGGCGTGTGGGGGGTGGGGCAGGTGGTGGACTTACAGTGGGTGTAGGGGGTGAGATGTGGGAGGGGCGGGGACTGAGGGAGGGAGGGGGGAGCACACACTACACCTGACAAACAGGAGTGTGTGAGTGAGGTGCCTTTGGGAACACCACGAGGCTGATCCCTACAGCCAAATACAGCACCTAGCACTTGCCCCCCACACCCACACACGAAGCCCACTCACACACCCACCTGCGGCTCACATTAACATATACACTGTGGCGTGAAACGCTGAATAAATGCAATAGTGCGGGTACGAGCCAGTCCAGCAAGCAGTGAGACTGGTCCAAGATGCCCACAGAGAGAGAGGAAGAGAGAGAGAGGGAGAGAAGAGAGAGAGAGAGATGTGAGTGTGGGCGTAGGGGATGGGTGGTGGGCGGGGTGGCAGGACCGGGGCACAGAAAAAGGTGTGAGGAACAGCGGCTAGTCAGTCTGGCTTGAGCTGTGGCCGCGGACACACACACACACACACACGCGATTCCATTTTTCCACCCTCCGTCCCAACCTCACTGAGCCGCTACCAACTCCGACCTGCCTGCCTCTCTACACCTCCTCCACGACGGCGGCTACACCCCCACCTACACCCTACGGTAAGCCAGTGTATCTGTCTCCCACGTACACCTGAATCGTCAGTATATCCCAACAGTCCCTGGGGTATAACGCTATATACCTCTGGCGCCACGGCTAATACCATCACTAAACCCAGCCCCATAGGAACATTCTTATTATTTCAAGTTAACAGGAAGACTTCAGGACTCACGAACAGACAGTATACCTCGAGTATGTCGTGTATGCTGCTCGGCTAATGGATAATTGTTATAAAATAATCTCAAAGAGGTTCCGTGTCCTCGTCTGTTAATGGGGGTCCTCACCCCACCCACCCCACACACTGTGGGGAAGAATTACTCCTGTTGTGTTTACCTGTTGAGATTTTGCCGTTGTATTGGTCTCCTGTTGAGTCGAATGCCACACTTGTTTTTTTTCAGTGGTGGATACATGCAACAGGGAGATTTACAACGGTACACCAACGGTAAGGAATTCGCTACTGTACACGAACCCAGGGTGGGAAAATTCTCAACAGTAGATGAATACAACAGGAAAGTTCTCAACAGGAGACGAATTCAACAGGGGGGAATCTCAACAGATGAACACAACAGGGTAATTCTCAACAGTAGACGAATACAACGAGAGAATTCGCTGCTACACACGAATACAACAGAGAATATTCGATATTGTAAACGAGGAAATTCAATTTATTGTTGTACACGAATCCAATTCGCTACTGCATATGACTATATAGTGAACAAGTGCCACTTTGCATCAAGGAGCGGTAGGTCCCTCCTCTCAACCCTGGCACTACAAGGCACTAACTACTACAAGGAGCCTACAACAGTCAAATATGACCCTTAATGTGAACAATTTGACTTGACTTAACTCTTCTATGTGAGTGGCTTTCTCCCTGTGTCGTGGTGTAGATTGGGGTAAAATTTGACTTGGAGGATTAGGGTATGTGCACAAATTACCTTGTGTATGTGTGTGTGTGTGTGTGTGTGTGTGTGTGTGTGTGTGTGTGTGTGTGTGTGTGTGTACTAATCAGATCAAAACTGGTGTGTGTGTGTATGCCAATTGGATCAAAGCAAAGTGTGTGTGTGTAGCAATTAAAGCAAGTTTTGTGTGTGTATGTGTGTACTAATTGGATCAGAGCTACAGTGTGTGTGTGTGTGTGTGTGTGTGTGTGTGTGTGTGTGTGTGTGTGTGTGTGTGTGTGTGTGTGTGTGTGTGTGTGTGTGTGTGTGCGCACCGAGGACAATAAACACCAAACAACCAGTGTTTGGGACCACCAGATCAACAACGGCTCACCGCCCTCATGTCGGCCCCACAAAAAACCACAAATATAACAGACTGTGATGTTTGACAATTATCCAATCAGACGGGAAGTTGTTGACGGTGATTTTGACGCATTTAAGATAGGTAGACGAGGAAGCTCATCTACGGAGAAGGTGTTAGTAGACAAGAAAGAGAACCCCGCAATGAGCCTAAAAGCATTACGATATACAAAACTGAAAATTTCAAATTCTATATGAATTTCGAATTTTTGAATCTAATTATGAATTTCGAAGAAATATAACCCAAATATAATATAATTAATAATAATATTGTATTTATTTATATATAATATATATATATATGAGGGTGCTTCAGGAATTTGCCTGTTTAGGCTACCTGACAACGGATTCCTATATAGATAGCCATAACTTATATAGATGCAAGGTGAGGATTTTTTTTTGTGTCGCAAATCCTTTCATGTAGCCTAAGGCAGCTGTATTGATTGATATGTACCTATAGCACTTAGCTACAGCTATAGCACGCATGTGGTAGAACTTAGGCTATGTATGTTGGTTGAAATGGATTAGTCTAGTTTCTGTGCCGTGTTGGGGGGGTGAGTGTGGTGTATGTGTGTGTGAGCCGGAAAAGTGTGGTCGACTAGGGGGTGTGTGGGGGGGGGGGGTGTGGGGTTCGAACCAGTGCCATCACCGAAGTATGATAATGACTGAGTTTTCGTCACACTTGTTGATTTGCGCTACTCTTCTTCCTGCCCTTAATCCTTCTACGTGTCTCTCTCTATCTCTATCTCCCTTACTTTCGTTCTCAAGATTTTCCCCTATCTTCGCCTTTAAGACCTTTTTATGTATATCTCAAACTGTCATCTTGCTAATGAACTGTCATGTAATTTCTGTCAGACTGTTGTTATAATGTCATATTGTTCCATAACTTGTTCATATTCACACTTGTGACCAGCAGCTGTCACGCTGTCACAGTGACCAGCAGCTGTCACGCTGTCATAGTGACCAGCAGCTGTCACGCTGTCACAGTGACCAGCTTCTGTCAAGCTGTTAAAAAATGTTTGGCGTGTCATACTAACACGAACAACTGACACTATACTGTCACGTTATCATGCCAGTGTCATGTTATCATGGAACATGACGTTTCTTCCTGTTATATATATACATTAAGCTCAATACTGTATGTACACTTTGCAGTCCTGTCACTATGTTCTGTCCAGTCCTGTCACTATGTTCTGTCCAGTCCTGTCACTATGTTCTGTCCAGTTCTGTTACTATGCTCTGTCCAGTCCTGTCACTATGCTCTGTCCAGTCCTGTCACTATGCTCTGTCCAGTCCTGTCACTATGCTCTGTCCAATCCTGTCACTATGTTCTGTCCAGCCCTGTCACTATGTTCTGTCCAATCCTGTCACTATGTTCTGTCCAGTCCTGTCACTATGTTCTGTCCAGTCCTGTCACTATGTTCTGTCCAGTCCTGTCACTATGCTCTGTCCAGTCCTGTCACTATGTTCTGTCCAGTCCTATCACTATGCTCTGTCCAGTCCTGTCACTATGTTCTGTCCAGCCCTGTCACTATGTTCTGTCCAATCCTGTCACTATGTTCTGTCCAGTCCTGTCACTATGTTCTGTCCAGTCCTGTCACTATGTTCTGTCCAGTCCTGTCACTATGCTCTGTCCAGTCCTGTCACTATGTTCTGTCCAGCCCTGTCACTATGTTCTGTCCAATCCTGTCACTATGCTCTGTCCAATCCTGTCACTATGCTCTGTCCAGTCCTGTCACTATGCTCTGTCCAGTCCTGTCACTATGCTCTGTCCAGCCCTGTCACTATGTTCTGTCCAATCCTGTCACTATGTTCTGTCCAGTCCTGTCACTATGTTCTGTCCAGTCCTGTCACTATGTTCTGTCCAGTCCTGTCACTATGCTCTGTCCAGTCCTGTCACTATGTTCTGTCCAGTCCTATCACTATGCTCTGTCCAGTCCTGTCACTATGTTCTGTCCAGCCCTGTCACTATGTTCTGTCCAGCCCTGTCACTATGTTCTGTCCAATCCTGTCACTATGTTCTGTCCAGTCCTGTCACTATGTTCTGTCCAGTCCTGTCACTATGTTCTGTCCAGTCCTGTCACTATGTTCTGTCCAGTCCTGTCACTATGTTCTGTCCAGTCCTGTCACTATGTTCTGTCCAGTCCTGTCACTATGTTCTGTCCAGTCCTGTCACTATGTTCTGTCCAGTCCTGTCACTATGCTCTATCCAGTCCTGTCACTATGTTCTGTCCAGTTCTGTTACTATGCTCTGTCCAGTCCTGTCACTATGTTCTGTCCAGTTCTGTTACTATGCTCTGTCCAGTCCTGTCACTATGTTCTGTCCAGTCCTGTCACTATGCTCCAGTCCTGTCACTATGCTCCAGTCCTGTCACTATGCTCTGTCCAGTCCTGTCACTATACACTGTCCAGTCCTGCTCAACCGGCGCCCAGGAACTTAAATCCGACATTCTTTGCTCCACATTTTTTACGACGTTTTATAATGATCAATTTATCGATATATTTCTCCATTGATAGATATTTCTTTATCTGTATATTTCTGTGTCGATATATTTCTCTTTTTTATCGATATATTTCTATTTTTTATCGATATATTTCTATTTTTATCGATATATTTATCTTTTTATCGATATATTTCTATTTTTATCGATATATTTCTATTTTTTATCGATATATTTTTATATTTGTTATCGATATATTTCTCCCTTTGTCGACATATTTCTCACTTCATCGATATATTCCTCTCTATTGATATGTTTCTTTATCAATATATTTCCTCACTTTTTTATATATTTCTCATATATTTCTATGTTGATATAATAGTGCTTATTATTCCATTGCTCTATGTTGGTCTATTTATCTATTGGTCTCTATTGATCTATTTATCTATTGGTTTATTGATTGTTATATATATATATATATATATATATATATATATATATATATAAATTTGGATATTTTTCAGTTCATATATTTATATGTTTTTCTATTGATCTGTTCATCAGTTGAGCTGTTTATCTACTGATATATTTATCTATTGAGATGTCGATCTATTTATCTATTAGAGTTTGTGGGTTGTTATCTATGCTTCTATGGATCTGGCTCTGGTCTATTGTGTGGCGAGGCTACGGTGAATTATTTTCATTCACTATTGAGGTAATTATGACTGGGACCAGGGATGGATTACCCAACAGGTTTCGTAGGGGGGCCCCTCCAGCTGATGGGGGCCTGGAAGGGCCCCTCCAGAACATGGGGGGGGGGGCCACCAACCCAGCACTTCCCTACGGGCTCACCATAGCCCGTGCTACTTGGAACTTTGTTCCAGGTAGCGAATCTTTAACAACAACAATTCAGCACTTTTTTGTACCTTAAAAAGGGGGAAATGGTAAACTACTAACTACAAGGTGGTTTAGTAATTTATAGTAAATCTTTTAGAGACCTTTTTTGAGGCTTTTCAGTACGTACTATATAATATTTTGTAATTATTATAATTTTAGTATGTATATAAGTTTTGCTTGCTTTGATGTATACTTGCCCGTGTATACTTGTATACTTTGATGTATACCCTGAGCCTTTATGTGCCTCTGTAACCCTTTCCACTAGCACCCACAAGATGGGTATGGGGTGCATAATAAATTAACTAAACTAACTAAAAACTGATGTATACTTTTATCTTCTGGAAAAGGGGAATTAAAACATAGAAG